TATTGAAAGTGCCATGGGCTGCCAAAAGAACCAATAGATCTGTTTTGTAAGAAGTGCAGCCAGAATGCTTCTTAGAGGCCAAGATGGCCAAATTTCATCTCTCATACTTCAGACATATTGTCACAAGGAGAAGGATATCATGTTTGGTAAGGTGGAGATCAGAGAAGGAGAGGAAGACCCCCTACGAGATGGATAGGCCAAGTGGCAGCATCGATGGACTCAAGTGTGGCAACAGTGGTGAGGTTGGCCCAGGATCGGGCAGTGTTTCATTCTGCTGTGCATAAGGTCGCTATGAGTTGGTACCGACTCGATGGCACCTAACAACAACAACAATCTCGAACCCACTGCTATGAAGTTGATTCTTACTCATAGCAACCCTGTAGGACAGAGAACTTCCCCATAGCTTTCCAAGGCTTTAGGGTTACAGACTGCCACATCTCCCTCCCATGGAGTGGCTGGTCAGTTCCAACCACTGACCATTTGGTTAGAGGCCAAGCACGGAACCACTGCGTCACTGGGATCCTAGCCTACCTAGTCAATGCTACTAAAACCCTGGGCATACCATTGACTTCTCTCTAGAAATCTGGTCATTTCTGAATGTCCCCTTTATTGTGTGGCTTGTGGAGGGAAGGAAGACTGTTATTACCTGACACCTGAATGTCCCCTTTATTGTGTGGCTTGTGGAGGGAAGGAAGGCAGATGACAACATTTGCAACAGGAGTTGGTGACCTGAGGTGTGTCTGTATGTTCCACATCATACTTCCCAGGGCAGGAGGAGGATTATGAACTACAGTGTTGAGGTCCTGATGCCAGTCACACTCCCTCTAAACTCTACCCTTGGGTCGGGACATATATTTATCCAGGAAATTTATATCTCTGGACTTCCCTGGTGCCTAGCGTGTCTGACTTATGAGTCTCACACACCCGGTGTTCTGATATGGAAGCAGGTCCTACCTGATGTTGACCCTGATTAGGTAGTTAGCGACTATCCTTCCTGCTTAGCATACCCTCCTGGAATTATGTTCATAGGCTCTGGAAGCACAGCTGGGCACTCACACAGTCTCAGTGATCTAGAGGTTCCTGAAGCTCAGGGTCTAGCTGCAGCACATACAAATTTGAAATGCCCTTTCCGTCTCTGTCCTGTTTCTTCAACTTGGGCTGGACTGCATGAATTCTGCCATCCCTTCTAGGTCATTCCTTGTGGTGGGTTGCTGCCACCACATCTGGGTCTGCTCAGCAGCATTTGGCATGCTGGAGGTGGGCTCCAGTCACACCTTGGCTCTGAGGAACCACTTGGTTTATCCCATTTAGTTTATAAAATGGGATAATCTTACATGTGCAGCCTAGCCCACACATGGCTATGGGAGAATCCATGTGACGATACCAGGGGATGCACAGGTGTTATTACCTGACACCTGAAGGCCCCGCCCTCTGCACCACTTGCTTCTCCATGACAGGGGCTCTTTTATCGGCTACATGGGCTTGAACTGACAAACGCATGCCCAGGTCTGAGAGGGAAGGACACTCTCCCAGACATTCTACCACATAATTCAGCTAGGGAGACATTATCAGTTTCTCCCTTTTACTTGCAAGAGAAAGCTTTGTACCTCCAGGGCCCCTAAATCTTGTTTCCTAGATTTGGGACATTTTTTAGTCAGGCCACAGTTGTTCAGCTTTAGAATGCGTGAGAAGAGGACGATGCTCCAATTGTTGACTTTAAGTCTCAGGAATCCCAAATAGGAATGGCTGGGACAGGAGAATGGGGGACCCCATCCTGCCTCCACCGGGACCCCTGGGCAAGTCCTGGAACTCCTCAGTCTATTTAGGTTGGGACTTTCAGCCTCACTGGCTGCTAGGCGGCAGAAGCTAGAGGAGGCCCTCTCAGTTCCCTGATAAGGGGTGAGGTGGCAGGTGGTGGGGCGGGAATGATGGGGATGGTGCGCAGGTTCCGGGTGGACGGCGGCGGGTCATTGCCGTATATATCCGGTCAAAGGCTGCGGAACGCGTCACTGCGGCGCCCTACCGTATGTGTTGAGCGCTGCGCAAGTTCTTTCCCGGGACTGGGAGTGCCGCGACTTAATTGCGTATTTATCAGGGATCCTGTGGTTCCCGGGGAGGGGGAAGGGCACTTGAGAAAGTGGGCGGTGGACTACATTATTTCCCCAAAGCAGCCAGGCCTTGCGGCGAGGTGGGGTGGGTTGCGGCAGCCTTATAGGACGCCTACGTATTTTTGTAGGGGTGGGGTTGCGACGCAGAGTTTACCATATTCGCTGTCGCTCTGGCCTCTGTAATTGGCAAGGCTGTGCGGGTTCAGCTCTTTTGATTAATTCAGTTTTTGTTAAGAGAAGCATTGTTCAAGGCTTGTCATATTTAAGGGGAGGGGCGGGAGAGGATGCGGGAGTCGCTGCGGGAGTTACCGTATTTGCGCTGTGTAGCGCAGAAGCTAAAGGAAAGAGCCACCGATGGAGACCTGAGAGACGGGGGCGCAACGTTGGCTGTGAGTGTGGAGCGGGACTGGGGAGGGGCATGGCCATGACCGTGGGCTTTCGGCCCAGTGACAGGGCCATGCCGAGACTGATCCAGGGGACTGAGGTGATCTGTCTTTACAAATGATCAATGAAGCTGCCAGGAGACTTGTGGGTTGGCTCTATTGCAAGTGGTGCCTGCTGCCTCCCTTAGGCAAGGGTCCGTTCCATTGTGTTCTCCGGTTAAGGGCAGGGGAGACCGAGGCACTGTCTCTGCAGACAGGTTGGTTGAGGCTTAAGGTGAAGAGTGAGATCTGAAAGCATCATGCAAAGTCGGTGGAGCAGGGAGGGAGAGGTGCCAGGGGGCCTAGCTCTGGTGGTCCTCAGCTCTCTGCAGGAGCAGGAACCCTGGTCTTGGTGGCGGTCACAGCAGACAGCGCCCTTATAGGAGCAGGGACTCTTTAGGTATGGCTGACTCTGTAGAGCTGCCGTGGTGTGTGTGTGTGTGTGTGTGTGTGTGTGCTGTGAGGGATGTCTAAGTTACCAACAGCACGCTAAAAAGATACTGTGGCAGGGAGTCAGGAGACCTAAGGTCTGTGTTTTCCTGGCTGCTGTATGACCTTGGACAAGTATGTTGACCTTGCTGAAACTGAGTTTCCCTATTTGTAGTGCCCAGTTGTTGTGAGCACAATGGGAAGCAATTTCAGAGGGGACCCTTGGGAGTAGCAGCACAGTTGGGATGCTCTGGACGCAGGGAGTGCTGTTGAACATTGAGTGGGGTTCTTGGTCTTGGGTAAGACCTGGCTGTGGGAATACAAGAAGGAGTAAAGCTGAAAAAGGCCCACACCCCCACAAGCCTCCATGTTTGCTCAGTGATTAAAAAAACATTTTAAACTCATGCACCATTTTGATAACAAACGGCTACCATTAATGTTTAATCGAGGTCATTTTCAAATTTAGAGTGTTTTCGTTTTGTTTTAAGCTTTGCAAAAGCATCTTTAAACCAGACGGCCCCTCTTTCCCCCATATTTGGGGTGTGCCTCCCCAGCCCTCCTTGAGGAGAGGTAAGGCATGTGCCGATGAATAGAACTCAAATAGTAGGCAGCTTTCTATGGGAAGATGGAGGTCTGCTGGTCACACGATTGGGAAGGGCTGGAGGGCTTCTAGGAGGATGTGGCATTTGAGAAGGACCTGGAAGAAGACCAAGATGTGAGTTAGGGGCAGAGGAGAAAATAGGACACCCCAGCAGGGGAAGGTGGGCTTGAACAAAACTTTAGAGGGCAGAAAGCCCAAACTGTGGGAGGAGAGCATCTCCCATGGGTTCCTGCCTAACTCCTCTCTGCTTCTGCCTCCCCAGGGCCTGCTGAGCCACCTGAAGGATCCATGACTGAGCCCATGTCTCCCGGGGGTATGTCCCCCGCGGGGGCCGTGGAGGAGGCCCTGGGAGATGAGCGTGGCCTAGTTATCCAGCAGCCCGCGGAGGAACCGCCCCACCGCTGCCCGCTGTGCAGTCGGACCTTCCCGCAACACCCCAGCCTGGTGCGGCACCAGAAGGCGCACGCGGGCCCAGGCCGTGCAGCCTTCGTGTGTCCTGAGTGCGGCAAAGCCTTCGGCGTTAAGCACAACCTGGAGGTGCACCAGCGCACTCACACGGGCGAGCGGCCCTTCGTCTGCCCAGACTGTGGCCGCCGCTTCAGTCTCAAGCAGAACCTGCTCGCGCACCGGCGCATTCACAGCGGCGAGAAACCTCACGAGTGCGCGCAGTGCGGTCGCCGCTTCCGCGAGCCGCGCTTCCTGCTCAGTCACGCGCGCACTCACGCGCGCGCGCCGCCGCCGCATCCGCGCCGCCCGGGAGTGTTTGGGGACCGGCGGCCCTTCTGCTGCGCGCGCTGCGGCAAGAGTTTTGTCCGAGAGGGCGCCCTCAAGACGCACCAGCGCACCCATGGCGCCGATGGCCCCGCGGGGCACCGGGGCCGAGCGCTCTGACTCGCTGCGGCGGCCCTGGGGTGGGGGCAGTGTCTGGAAGCGGGACTCCGGGCGGCCTCCCACTCTTCACCCTGGAGCCCGGGGGCTGGAGTACGTGCGCTGTTCTCCCGAGCAGGTGAGCTCTGGTGGCTGGCCTTGTTGGAGGTGCAGTGATAGTAAGACTTACCGTCTGTGGGCTCTAGGAAGAACTCTTCTTTCCCAGAACGTCTTTGGGGAGAGCCCAGTGCCCCAAACAAGACCCACCTTCCGTCCCAGCCCCATCATTACTGCTCAGAGCTTCCAGTCCTGCAACACTCATGCAGGAGTGGGGATGTGGACAAGTGATGTTCACATGGGGTGATAGTAGGGTGAACAGGTGTGGAAGGACATCTCTACCTCTCTCCAAGGCCACTAATGAGGAAGGAGAGCCACCACAGGTGCCTAGGACCTCTGACCCCAGATGGGTGCTCTGAGGCACAGACTTGCCTCAAGTGGTCCCCCAAGAGTGGCTCTCACTGGTGGGAGAGTAGAGTTGGTCTGTGCAGGAATGGGCCCTGTGGTCAGATGATAGCAGCAGGGACATTGAGGGGAGGTGGTGCCAGAGGTCCAGAGCCAGTGCTTGGAGAGACAGTTAAGGGCATCTCTCCTCCTGTCTCAGAGGAGCAGCCAGGCCTTGATTCTGAGTGCCTGTCCTCAGTGCTGCGTGGCTCCCCAGTGGGCTGTTCAAGGCAGACTGGAAGAGAAGAGGTTCGGTTTGGAGCCAATCCTTGAGAAGCTCCCTCCATAAGTCTGTTGTCTTCTTGTCTGTGGAGGGATTGACATTCTTGCTGTGCTGTGTAGGATCTCAGGGTGAATTGCTGACTGCTCCCTCCCTCCTGGCCCTTAACCAGAAACTTCATTTCTTTTTCTTTGTGTGAACAGATGTAGAATGTGCAGGACCTCAGAGCCCGTGGATTCCAGGTGCATCCAGGGACTGAGAATGGGTCTCACCGGGCCCTGCTGGCACTTGGCATACAGATACCTCCCACAAAGACCTACCATGGGAAGATCTGGAGGAGCTTGGAGCCCTGTGTGGTCCCTGTTCCTGTGTGGGGCACACAGCCATGCAGAGCCTTCTGGACATGAACTTGAGCTTGAAGTCTTTGTATTCTTTCAGAGCAAGACTCTCAGCACCTTTGGGTCGGGCATGAAGCCCTTTGAATATCTGATGAAGATGAGAACCTTCTATAGAAAAACACATATAGTTGTATAGAATCAGAATTTATAAGCAATTTCATGAATGGAGCCTATCAGCATTGACTTTACAGGCCTGACTCAGGGCCAGTGTTCCTATGGGGTCTCCTTCTCCCTGCCCCTGAATCTGAGCAGGGAACTGCCTTCACTAGTCACTACTCCCCAAGTGAACAAGACAGCAGTAGGTTACTGGAGCCCTCGTTCCTCCTCACAGCTTTGCGAGGTTCCTGGGCTCTTCTTGGGCTTTGCTAGCCTCCTTCTGCCTGACTGCTCCCTGGCTCTGCTTTTGGTCTCAACGAAAGATGGCAGGGGAACAGGGACATCCTTGGGCTCTACACGGAGACTTGAGCTTGGTCTTAGGGAGGATGGGCCCTCATCTCCCACCAGCTCAGTACAGACTTACGCTGCTGGGGCAGGAAGACTACAAGGGGCCTCTCTTGCCTGCCACATCTGGGGCTGAGAGGCAGGGGCTGGCAGAGATGCTGTTCTTGTGACCCTGGAAGGCACACAGCCAGAAGCAGGTTGGAAACACTTCCGTCTTCACACCTGAGCAAGTCAATCTGGCAACTGTCTCTCCATCAGAAAAGCTGTAAATGGTGGAGCTTGGCTGGGTTTTCGATGACAAGCAGATTTCCCAAAGTTGGTTACACTTATTGAGAATTTTGGTGCCTACGTTAATTTTGGAATCTGCATTCACACCCTTTGGGCACAGTGTGGGCAGAGGGAATTAAGTGTCCAGATGGTAGCTAGCATCTGAGTTGGCCGTTTGTTAGGATTGTCTGTGGATTCCTGCCTTGGAGTCTTTTGCTTGTCCTGTTTCTGATAGATTCCTACTGGTACCTCCATATGACTGCCCTGTGGGAGACCAGAGAGAGAGCAGGCCCTTGCCTTGCAGGGTGTTGGCTGTGACTCATCCTTGTCAGTGAAGAGAAGGCCTCTTCTGTTCGTCACCCCATCTGCTTCCTCTGCCTGTAGGCAGTATGTCCCTACTCGGAGCCTACTGTGAGCTCTGCAGCTCCCCCTTCCTCCTGCACCCAGCCAGATCTGAGGCAGCCTCACCTCCATCTCTCTGTATAGTCCCTGTGTGTAAGGCACCTGCATTTGGACTTTCCTAGCTCCTGCCTCCTGTGTGCGTGCGAATGTCTTGAACCCTAAATTCGAGTGTGTGCTCCCTGAGAGTGAGAGGCTGAGCAACTTACTGAACCTCACAGTCTTGCTGGTTTTGTGACATTCAGGAAATATTTGTCAATCGGTTGGTGAGTCAAGCATTGAAGGTTGTGGGATAGCTAAAAGTGGGGGTCAGAAGTGGGAGTTGTGTGGCATAGCTCATGGGTGCATTTTGCTGGGTGACATGTGACTGCCCCAGGGCTGGGGTACACACTGGAGCCTCAGGTTCCCCTGCTTGGGTAGGAAGAGCTGGAGTCACTGTGGTCATGCAGAATATGGGAACAGTCATCGTCATCTACCGAAGCTGGCCAAGCTAAATAAACACCCTCTCAACATCCACTTGCATGGGGTGTGGTCATTATTTGGAGGTAGCTGGGAGCAGGGTGGTGGCTGCTGTCTCTGCTTCTATCGTGTCCTGAGGAGTCCTGGTCACAGTAACATGATAGCAAAGACCCTTTCCCCCTGTGGTGCTGTAGGATCAGCCCTGCACTGAGAACCACAAGGTCAGCAGTTCAGACCCACCAGCTACTTCTCGGAAACCCTTTACAGGGTTATTGTGAGTCAGAATCTACTCGACAGCACTTAACAGCAAGTTACCCTTAACCCTAGCTGCCCACCCAACCGTAGTGAGGCCAGGCCTACCATGAAGCTCTCCTGTGAACCTATCAGTATCCGAGAGGGGGGTGCTGTAGGAAACCAGGTGCCCACCTCTATGGGCTCCATGGGGAGATAACACTTATTCCTGTTGCCTCCTGAACCTTGGAGCAGTAACCATGCCCCTCAGGAAGGCAACACTGACCAGGACTGCTGGTCAATGCGTCAGGATCCCACTGGGGGAGTTGGTCTTTGCAAGTCCTTTCTTGTCTGGGTGGCCATTTCCACATTCATGAAGGACTGGAAGATGATGGCCTCAACACCTTGGTACTCAACCTGGGTTTGCAGCTGGGTCAGTTGGGTTAGGGTTTAGGGTTAGAATTAGGGTTTAAGGTTTTGAGTTCAGAGTTTAGGGTTTAGGGGTTAGGGTGTAGGGTTAGGGTTTAGGGTTAGGGTTTAGGTTTTAGTGTTAGAGCTTAAGGGTTAGGGGTTAGATTTAGGGGTTAGGGGTTATGTTTTTGGGGTAGAGTTAGAGTTTAGGGATTAGGGTTTAGGGTTAAGTTTTTGGGTTAGAGCTAGGTTTCGGGTTTCAGGTTAGGTCTAGGGTTTAGGGTTAGGGTTTAGGATTTAGGATGTGCTCAGGGCATGTTCAGGGGATTAGTAGCAGAGGGTTAAGAGGTTAGGGTTTTAGGGTGTGAGGATTATGGCATATGAATCTTGGTTTGGGGCATAGACTGGGGTTTAGGGTTAGGGGTGAGTATATGGGGTGTGGGTTAAGGGTTAAGAGTTAGCATTAGGGTTGTTAGAGTTTAGGAGTTTAGGGTTGGAGTTATGGCTGAGACTGGAGTGAGGGTGTGGGTATGTCTAGGGAGTGTTAATAGAAATACCGATTGAAAAATTTCAAGTGGTCTTCCTTCCATTCCTGGAATCTTGTTTCCTCCATTGCTTTCAGTGCAGCTTGGATTTCTTCCTCCAACACCATTGGTTCGTGATCAGATGCAAACTCTCAAAATAACTGGATGTTGACCAATTATTTTTGGTACAGTGACTCTGTGTATTCTTTCATCTGTGTTTGATGTTCCCTGCATTGTTCAATATTTGCCCATAGAATCCTTCAATATTAAGTCTTGAATTTTTCCTTTGGTTCTCTCAGCCTGAGAAATACTGAGTGTGTTTTTCCCTTTTGGTTTTCTAACTCCAGGTCTCTGCACAAGTCATTATAATGCGTTAATTTGCTGGTATTTGAAATACCAGTTGCATAGCTTCCAGCATCACAGCCACACACAAGCCATCACAGTGCAACAAACTGACTTTCTAGTGGAGGGAGGAGGCATCTATACAGGTACATGTCTTTCTCCTTCTCTTGTTCAGTGGTCTTGAGGTAAGAAAGAACGGACTGCTGACCAGCACAGCTTGAGCACAGCAAATGCAGATGCTTGCGCAGTGGTCCTGAAGAAGAATGGTGGTGGTAGTGCACTTGGGGAAGGTGGGCAGTCTTGAGGTGTACTTAGGAGTCTGAGCAGCCAGAATTGCTTGTGGATCAGAGATATGGGGCGAGAAGAATGGGATATCAAAGGTGAGTCCCCAGATTGGGACCACAGTGAGAATACGGTCACCAGAGCCATTGTGTACAGTGTGGAAAACCAGAGAGGAACAAACCTGTGAAAGATCAAAAGATTTCTTTTGAACATGTTAGAACCATCCCTGTGTGGAGTCATCTCTGTGTGGAGAACAATGAGTGCCCAATTGTGGATACAAATCTGAGGAACATTTTCTGGCTGGAGATCAACAGCCTATACAGTGGAGTAGAAAGTCATTATAAACTCAATTAGATTTCCAATCAATAGACTTATATCTACTATATGAAAATTTTCAGCTTTATATTATCTCAGGAGATTGTTAGCCATATTTATTAATACTAAGATTATAAGAATTACAAGATATATGTGTAAGTTTAGAAATCCAGAATCCAAGCTTCTGATTGCCTATCCCTGTCTGTACCCTGGATTCACTAGTACCTATGTACA